CCCCCACCCCCCCCGCGGGTGCGTGTTGTACGGATATTTTGCAAAATTTACGGATTTTTGAGGCATTTTATACAGGTGAACATTCGAAGAGGTCGACATGTATGCCTAGAAAACCAGTCCTAAATAAGATTCTGTCTGCCTGTTAAAGGAAACCCTGCAGATCAGGACCTGCTCAGTCCAGTTTTCTTGTGTGTCCTTCCTAGACTCCAGCAGAGGGGGCTTCTGTCTCTGTCTACGCTGCAGTGGCTGCTGAGATGGAGGGGGTGGGGGGCTGTTACTTGTACAACGGAGAGAAGACGCAGTCCTCAGACGTCTCCTACGACTCCCAGCTGCAGGTGAAGCTGTGGAAGAAGAGCTGCGAGCTGGTGGGCCTTCAGGAGCCCTGATGGACCTCCAAAACCTGGTCCATCATCAGGGACCATCGAGGACAAGACTGAGCCCCGCCTCCCTTCATTCAGAGGACTCCTTAAAGAAACACAACACCTGCTGCCTTTAATGTGTCAGACTCAGATCATACTGAGAAATGTGTCGACTCAGCTGTTTATAACTTGAAAGTAACTTTATGCAGAATTTCACATCATTATGTGATTTATTAGAGCTCAGAATGAGTCATGTCAAATGCAAGCTTGGTTTTGAGCTCAATATCTGTCAAACTGACTGAACTGTAGCCGTTTATGTGCTGGAAAAATGATTAAAATCCAGGGCCCGTATTTATCAAACTTCTTAGAATTACTCTTAAGAACGCTGCTAAGAGTGGACTTAAGTGTAAAAAAATCTTAGTTAAAAGCTGAGAGTAAAAGTCACTTATCAAGTGTCTCAGTCTTTAAGTGAAGTGTAGGAGTAATTCTTAAGTGTCAGTCTTAGAGCTGATTTATGACACCTGCTGTGCTGCAAAGCTGATCCTGGATGAYGTCGTTAGAAAAAACACCGGCATGGACCAATCACTGCCTCAGATTTCATGTTTAAGAATAATCGGCCTCATGCAAGAACATTTTCGTATTCTTCTCCTAAATTTCTCTTACTTTTGTTCGTACAAAGGGTTCGTACAAACATGTCACGTCAGATTCAACAAAC